TTTCAAGTTTCTCTTTTCTTTGCAGTGCTGTTGTTCTGCAGAGATGGCTCCCTTAGTCGTCTTTTACGACACCCTCGGGATGAATGGGGTGACACTCTGTATTCCTAATCAACCATCACACGGATATCAAATATATTCTCATCAAGTATCATCATCATCAACAGCCTTTAATAGTCCACAGCTGGACATAGGCCTCACCTTACGCTGGCCGTCTGGGTGGGTATAGGGATTGTTAAAAGTTTTTCTTCTCCTTGCAGTGCTGTTGTCCAGCAGAGTTTCCTCCCTTAGTCGGCTCTTACGAAACCCACGGTATGAATATGGGTCGTGACACTCTGTATTTTTAATCCGTCACCATACGGATATCAACTATATTCTCACTAACTATACTCGTAATGAAAAACTCGGTGAATAGCAACCAAAAGTTGCTTAACACTTGTTTTCTGTGAGGCTGTAGTGTCGCTTCGTTCGAGTCAGCCCATATTTGCCAATTGTCTTTGTAAGTGAGTCAAATTCCGTTCGCTAGCACTAAGTTAAATATTTGCCATGAAATGATTAAGGTTTAGTTATACCTATGAAGTCAACGAAGCTCTGGTATGGCGTTGTCATGGATTCATGTCCTGTCCTGTAAATTGTCATTTTCATAATGTTGTCAAAAGTAACTTTACTTTAACGTCCAACTATCAAGTTTATTTATAATGTGTCTATTTGAATTGGTCTCAATTTTTGTACTTCAAGTGTGCAGAATAATTGATTGATGCCTCTATAACAACTTAAATTAACAAATCCTCAGATAAGTTGTGCGTAAAATTCTAAACATTACACACAACACAACAAACACGTATTAAACTTAAAGGATAAACGCTTTTATATAAATATGTAGCTTCTATTAAAACCTCCAGATTAAAAAAATATATTTTCGTTTCTTTTAGGAAGTAACAGGACATATCGCAGAACGATGCTCTAATGTTCTTGATTGTCGTAATTGGTTTGTTTTCTAAACTTAAAACCTAAAAAAAACTGGTTTCTTACTTTCCTTCATTTTAGTTCAAGTGTCAATTTTATTTTGTGTCACTAAACCGTGAAATTGTGCTTTTTTACCTGTTTATAGTTTTATTATATTCTCGACACAGAGATCACGACTGGTTTATGTGTGATCTAGTCAAACTTCGCGACTAGTGGTCGGATTTCGACCATGATTTAGTACTATTCTTTGGTAGATTATTGACCATTATTTGTTAGTTATTCTTTAAGAGAAATCTGGTGTCGCATCTTAAGACTTTAATGTAAACTAAATCACCAAAAAAGACTTAACAGCTCTGTAATTACATCTCAAAAGGTTTATAACGAGACACTCTCTGAGTCTCTTTAATTCTAAAAGGTCCTTAATATAAAAGAGATCAAACAAAAAGCTTATTCTCGACGCTAGTTCATACGAACCATATTACAACACTAGCTGAGATGAAATCGCAATGTTCATTGAAATCATTTCAACCACGCCTGTGGTAAAACGTACAATAAAAAGATCTTATAACGTAATGTTTGATCATTCAAACAGGTTGAATATATCACAACTGGTCTTATGTCCGATTAATGAGTCTGACATATTAATTTAATGGCTATGCCTAACAGCTGGACTAGCTACATCGGGTATGGCTGTCTAGCTTTGACGTAGTGTAGCGCCATACTACACGAATACTAAGGGTGACGAGACAGGTATTATCTCTTGAATAGTGGCCCCTGTCCTGCCTAAAACGGGTTCATCATCCAAGTGCGTGTACTAATGTGTACACATTGACTACAATCGTATTTCTATTCAAAATATAAAAACACAATAAATGTAGGTATTTTTAATAACTTTCGTTTTTTTTTAAATCTATCACAATAAAAATTACTTCTCATAAAATTCTTCTATTTTTATTTCGTTATGAAAGAAGTTTTGTATCATTGTTATTCATTATCTTAGTATTATTGTGTAAAATATTTTACGAATAAAAGTATGTGGATGTGTATGAATGACTGTGTGTAAATATATATGTACGTGTGTGTATATGTATGTAAGTTCATGTTTTTAGTTCACAGCGTATACTGTTTTAATTTATTAATTGATTCAAAAATTTAGTTAAATTGATTCTACAACACCCAAAGGTTGGCTGGAAAATGTCAAGGGCATTAAGTCCACTGATGTGCAAAAAGTCTCATGATAGGTGAAATAAAATAAATAATGACCAGGTAATGTCCATGTCTTAGTTAGCGGCTTTTTCAATCTCAAGAAGGACACAGAGACACGCAGCCCTTCGAGCTGCATCAGTATCAGTACTTTTGACCGGCCTTTTGTTCTAGTGGTTAGTGATTCTGACTGCTAGGCCAGACACCGTGGGTTCGATTCCCAAGGAGCGTTAGCGACAGGCAGGTTGGCGTCTATAAAAGTCACCGGGAATTCAACACATTGGATTAATTTTAAATAATATTTAAAATAAAAACAAGAAAATGGTGATAACGATGAGGTTAAAAAATAGAAATAGAAGTAGTCTTAAAGGTTTTACTTTCACTCAAAAACCACAACAGATGTAACGTAACGTAACGTAATTTGATCGCCCTCCAAAACTAAAGTAATATCAATTACAATTTGATCACAATATCGTTAATCTAAATCATTGTCTGCCGATAGATTGTTTAAATCAGCATCCACTCAATCGAGGGCATACTTACTACAACATTTTATGCATAAATCTACTAAAGTTTCACAATAGATACTCATTAATAACTGCCACATTCCATGTCTTGAAGGCTGGCTTACTCAACATTGTTTAGATAATCCAATGATTACTGAACAAGATCAAATTTGCTTGGATACAATTTGATTTATTGATTATTATGTAGAAGGTTCTCCACAGGTGTATTCTATAATTGATGAGAATATTATTTACACACATATAAACACGTCTTTATCCCCGAAGGGGTGGTATCACTCCAGTCGAGCCAGCCCATTAGGGTCAAAGCGTGTATTTCAAACAAAAGTTCCATCAAACGCGAGAGCCAATGGGAGACCGGAGTAATACCACGGCGTCACAGAAATCCGGTGTTAATTCTTTCATTACATTGCACCGAGTGAGTGAGTTTATCGGAGTCCAAATCCTCCTGTTTTTTGGAGTACCTTTTGACTCTTGAGTTGTTTTAAGGAAGGGTAACATTTAGTTTTTAGCAAACACTCGATGCGTGCACTAATTCTGCAGACTGGATTTTAGACTATAACTACAAATTTACATTAGTTTGAGACAGGTACAAGGGAATAAATTGTTAAGTTCAAAGACCACTAAAATATAGTGGCTTCGGCAGGTTGCTTATCGATTGCGTGCACTTTACTGATAGGTATATATGTACCTACCGAAAGTTACTTAAAAGTATCTCGAAACAAGAAATTAGTATTAAAGTGTATTCTTGAATGATTTAAAAGTCTGAAAGAGATACAAATATAATTAAATAATTCTTAAGCTTGTTTTAATTAAAACAAAAATGTAAATAATAATCAAATGAATGGATCGATGACGAGCTTAATAAAACACACTTAACAAACCTCTTTCACATTGTTTAAATCGTAACATTACCTAATTACAATTATTAAGCAATACCATGAACATATTACAAGTACATCTGAGTACCCACTTATACTGACAAAATACATGTGTGAGTACATCACTATGTACTGATGAATCCTTTCAAACAAACCAGGTCAAGTTTATTACCGAAAATAAACATTACAAGAGCAATGACATTACACAGCATGCCTTTATTAAATCCTATTGTGTATTTATACTTATCTTGACCAAATATGATGTTCAATGTCAAATGTCTTTGTACAGAAGGTTAATTTAAGCTATCGTTGCTTGAAGCAGATCTAGATTGTATGATTGATAGGTAAAGTTGGATGGGTCGTTGGAGTAATACCAACGATGAGATAAGATTAATCGTTTGTATTTACTTACTGTTTAGATACCTTGTAATTATGTTGTATCACTTTAATTGCCAACTATTTTAAAGGATAACTATATAACAGGATAATTATTCATCAAACATCATCATCATCAACAGCCTTTAACAGTCCACTGCTGGACATAGGCCTCTCCTGAGATAGGAGTTTTTGGCCTACTATACCACGCTGGCCAGACGGGTTGGTATAGGGTTTGTTTCAAGTTTTCCTTCTCTTTGCAGTGCTGTTGTCCTGCGCAGTTTCCTCTCTTAGTCGGCTCTTACGACACCCACGGGATGAACAGGGGTGGTGACACTCCGTTTTCTTAATCCGTCACCACACGGACAATAATTTTATATTTTACCTCACGGATAATTATTATAAGGAGGAATTTAATCATTCGTTTACCACTTTTAATAACTCATTTACTATTTGAAAGAACCTTTTTCTGAAGCAGTATAGTCTATATTTATAGGTATAAATAAGTAAATGCGAAATTATAATTATAAATAGCATAATTATGGTTTTCCTGCCTCCTGCCTGTCTGCTATCTGCTGCCTGTGGCCCCGTCTATTGCAACCTGGTCGAAAGGGAAACAATTCAGGAGTATAGAATACCTTTTTTTTTTTTTTTTTTCTATCCGAAAATCCCCTCGGATACCACCTGTCGGTGGCATGTCGGACTCGAACCGACCAAAACCGCACGCCGTCTCGGGCACCAATAGCCGGGGAACCAGGTATACCCTAGAAAGGAAGTCCCTGGTGCAGTATAGAATACCTAGATAAATTTAATAAACGATAGGTTTTACTAAAAAAGGTTATAAAAGGTTGAACTCTAATTTCATTACAAATAAAAATGTCATAAGCTTTGAAGTCTTTTTTTTTTTAATTTAGATAATTCATTACATGTTGCTAAAGAAACAATCGTAAGTTCGCGTGTATGTCACAAATACATAAAATCTAATCTGCTGTAACAAATATTTCATAGAATCAAAGACGACAAATCTATTCTTATTCGTATTTCTATTTCTCAGGGACAATCAGCAACGCTGGAGGGCATGAGAACGTCTTTATCGGCAAAATTTCCATCGATGCAGACCCCGTCACAAGAAGTGGTGTACGATACCCTGGCCCAGCTGATGCAGGACAGGAAAATATACCAAACCTCCAGAGGATTCTTCATAGTCACGCCTGAGTAAGTCCATAAAGAATTACTATTATTCAAGTCTTTTAGAATGGTATTCTGACATGCCCCGATGAAGTACATTTTTAGCAAGCTCCTATAATAGCTTTACATCTAAAATATGTGGGAGGAGAAGGAGGAGGATAATTTTAACCTAAATCTGATTATCGTATCGAAAAGAAACAATGTATGTAGGTACGTGATTTGGATGATTACAATTTTTCATCTTAGAACCTATCTGATAATGTAGCTGGAAGGTAGGTAGTACAATGTTAACTAAGCACCCTTTCGGCTCATACAAATAGTTTTAACGAGTCCAATAATCTGGATTGAGTAACAATCTTACGATCTATCTAGTCTTATGATAATGAAACTCTTTATTACGCGACTACGGCAGGTCCAAAGCAATCGGCTTTTAGATTGTTACGTTTTGTTTTACTTTTTAACTAAGGATTTATTTTTTATTATGTACGAAAGTGCAAATATTTGTTTAATTTAGGCGACAATACAGAAAGATTACCAAAATAAAGTAAAACTATACCAAACCTAATTAAATCAAAGCATCTACCACCCCAGACAGCAAATATAACGGTACATAAAAAGACATTCCTTTTTTATATACCTGCAGTACATAGTACATTTTTATCATGTCTATTTTGATGCAAACAATACAGTCACCGAGTTATTTTTTGTCAAAAATGTCACAACAAATAAGATCAATTATTGAATTAAACTGTACAAAGGTATAAAAATCTTATTAGTACGTTTTCAGATATTGTTTTTATTAACTGAAATACTTCGGAAATACAGAAGTTTGAGTACACTGCACTGCACTGCCGACTGCACGGATGGCGTAGTGGTTTAAGCGGTCGGCACGCCGCTTACTACTACGCCGAGTGTTGTGGGTCCGATCCCCACATGGGACGACACTTGTGTGATCCATAAATTGTTGTTCTGAGTCTGGTCTGGTTTATAATGCGAGAGTTGTATTTAAAAAAAAAAAAGGGCAGTTCCCCTTACTCCTTGATGACTGTCCAGGACCCAAGTACTGTACTTTGTTCGTGTGGTGACGGATTAAGAATACGGAGTGTCACGAACCTTATACATCCCATGGGTGTCGTAAAGGCCGATTAAGGGAGCAAACTACGCAGTGCAACAGCACTGCAAAGAGAAGGAAAACTTGACCTTGACTTGACTTGAGACAAACCCTCTACCAACCCGTCTGGCCAGCTTGGTATAATAGGCCAAGACCTCCTTTCTAAAAATCAAAGGATGATGATGCTGAAAGTACTTAACGCGGGAGAGCCATGCTTCGGCAAAAATGGGCCGGTTCGACCGAAGTGATACCACTTCCTCACAGAAAGCTAGTTGTAAGCAATTCTTCCTCCTCGGACACCCTTCCTACCTTTATTTCCTCCTCCTCCTGGGAAGCGGCAAGGATTTGTGACTCGTGAGTTGCAGGTTCCCATTTGTGTAAGTTCCCCCCACTTACCATCAGGCGACGACAGGGGACAGGCGTCAATTCGTTTGCCCTCCTATGCCATAAATAAAACACCAAACATATTGAAGCATCCCCGATTAATTTCGGAAAGTACTGTCTGCTAATGCCAAACATTACTCAGAGTTTATTATTTACTAGCTGGTGGCCTTAGTGGTTTAGTGCGGCACGCGACTGCAGTCCATTAAGCCTCGGGTTCGATTCCCGGACCTAGCGAAACTTAATAGGAATTTTCTTAGACAGCGACCTGGTATTAAAATATTATCAAAATCGGTCATGACGTTTTAAAGACTACCCGCACAAACAGAAAGACAGATAAAAAATATTGAAACTGGTTTTAAGGCATAGGTATCATGCAAATAACCGTGTGAGCATGAAAAAGCCTATTAATTTAACATTACAGACAGACATTTCAATAAAAAAAAAATAATAACTTCACACATCTCACACACGGCCGTCTGATCCCAAACTAAGCAGAGCCCGTACTATGGTAACCAGACTGCTGATAAACATACTTATATATTTCTAAATACATACATATTATAGATAAATTACACCCAGACACAGAACAAATGACCGCGCTAATCACACAATATTTGCCCTGGGTGGGAATCGAACCCACGACCTCCGGATTAGCAGTCGCGGCCACTAACCACTAGACCAACAGGCCCGTTTGTATAGATTTTATAGTCAGCCTTAAAATGTCAACAAGAATCATATTTTGTTATTTGCATTAATAAGTTGTATCTATGATCTCCTAATTTAAATAATTAAAGCACAATGAATGCAAACATCGACTCTCAAAATTCATTCAACTAACGTACGTATACCAAAAGAAGCTATACTGTGCACTGAATATTTATTAAATCTTAAACTACATGAGTCATGACACCAATTTAGTTTGTTAGTGACGGTTACAAGTGGTCATGTTGACTAAAATTATTCTCAATATAGGTACACATCCAAGTTAGGACATGAAGACACTAAGATGCATGTCCTAATTAATATTATAAATCGGGATGTGAAGTTGTTAGTTTGTTATGATTCCACGCTCAACTACTGAACCGATTATCATGAAATTTATGCAATCAAGTAGACAAAGAGCATTCAGAAAAAAACTTTTTCTGAGGAAAAACATTTAAGAAAATCATCGATGTAAGCACAGTCTATGATTTCACGATTCCTAATTTTCATGAACACGAACGAATCCGCAAGTTAGTTAAAAATAATAATCATCATCATCATCATCAACAGCCTTTAATAGTCCACTGCTGGATATAGGCCTCTCCTTAGAAAGAAGGTTTTGGCCTACTATACCACGCTGGCCAGACGGGTTGGTACAGGGTTTGTGTCTAGTTTTCCTTCTCTTTGCAGTGCTGGTGTCCTGTGTTGTTTTGCGCCCTTAGTCGGCTCTTACGACACCCACGGGATGAATTGGGGTAGTGACATTCCGTATTCTTAATCCGTCACTACACGGACAATAATAATAACTAGTGATAAACGTGAAGTGATAATAACCTGACTACTAATAAAAACACTTACATATTAAGAACACATAAATATTATAGATTAATTACCTAATTAAGACACAACAAACGCATCACACAATTATTTTTCCTGGGTGGGAATCGAAACCACACAAAAACATCAAGTAGTCAAGTTATATCAACTTAGGATTAAGTATTCGTGACCAATGTGATACGCATAGATCCTATTCATTGTATTGTTAGTTAAATATTTTATGGTTTTTAAAAACCGTCAAAATGTTTCTTTTTAATCTATTGGACATGCTTCTTATAGTGAATATAAAATATTTCAACACTGTAGCAAATTTAATTTAATTTTATTTATTTACCTCCTTCCTAAGGAGAGGCCTATGTCCAGCAGTGGACTAGTAAAGGCTGTTGATGATGATGATGATGATGTAGCAAATTTACATAGCCATAGAATTAGTTTGCAGTTTAAATCTGGTTAAGAAATGAATACTTGATTAACCAAAAAGATATGGACAGATTGTTGCGGAGCTTTAATAATAATAAATTTATTGCAACCAATCTTAATTTCTAGGATACAAACACTTAGATACAAGGATTATCAAGGAATACAAATCAGTGAAGATTTATGTCTTAACTAAATAACTTGATATCTGTGCTTCAAACAGCTCTTTCTTTGGAGATTATAACATTTCACTGAATATAAGACCGATCACTTATCAATTAGTAATATAATAACTTTTCATTTAATATTTTCATGCATATGTAATGTATAGCAGAAATAAATAAAATTGAACGTTCTGGTAATTATGTCATAATAACAGCTTTTTACCTTAACGTGTTTTGTTTGCACTGCACTTTTCCTTTAAGTTTTTTGTTTGTCTTCCGTTTTGTTTGTTCCGACTAATCTCTGGAGCTAGTAGACCGATTTCCACGATACTTTCGTTGAATAATCTATCAAAAGAGTTAGATTAAAAAAAAACATATAGGTACTAAAAGGCGAAGTCGTAGCAGGCACAGCTAGTATTTTACTAATATTGTAGAAAAGTGTATCTATAAAAAAAATTAATAGTTCTAAATGTACGGATATTATACTCGAAAGGAATAAACTTTATTAAAGTTAGTAATTTAATAAAAGTACATAACAGTAGCGTGTGAATACTATAGTCCATCAACGTCGTGCGCTACCGTCCTGCTGGGTGACAGACGGTGGCGGGGACGATGTACTCAAGATGTCAGCGGGTAGCGGGTGGTTTAGCGGGGAAGGTAAACGCTTCTCTTCGTGTGTAGCCGTGTGCTAGAATGACGCGCTACCTCGTCCCCGCCACCGTCTGTCACCCCGCGGGACGGTCGCGCACGAGATTGCCGGGTTATAAGCATGACGCAGAGGATATGTAGCGTTATGAAAATACTTTAACTTGACATAACCGCGTCGATCTGGTATTTGATCCAAGAGGTGGCTAGTACTACTCTTCAGTGGCTACTAGTATACGCCACAAGTGTTTACTCGTATAATTCGTTTTGACAAATCCAGCGGATTGGAGTACAACGACTTTTACAATTTTCTGACTATAAGGCCAGAAGCTGGATAATTTTACTTAATTTTACTTTTTTTGTCCGCTCGGCTATTAAAGCATGTTATCATATCATGTACAAAGATAGGCCTTTAATAATATTTCTAATGGTACGTTTACACTTGAGGCAAGTCGCGACAAGTATCCCTAAACACCAGCGTTCAAACGGGGTGTTTATCTTACATGACTTTGTCGCCTATCCGGGCTAGTGTCGGTTTTTTAACACAGCCGTAGCCGCGTGTTTAGTGTCTCTGTTTATATTTTAAATAAAAATATGTCAAGCTATAACGTCTGCTATGTTTGCCTGCTCAGAACACACTAGTGTACTCGCGAGCGTAAATAACATCCAAACGTTTGTAAAGGCTTGGAGCTTGTGGACGTTTGCCAAGCCTTGGCAAGCGCGTAAACTATGCATAACATGCAACAGATAACATACACCAGGTGTTATTATGTTATTATATATTATGCAGTCTAAGTATAAATATAATCATATTATATTGTTTTTTGACGTTTATTGCTTATTATATGTCATCATTATTGTTCTGTCATGTTTTTATGGCACAAGGCTTAGTTAGGTGATTTGAATTAAGTTTGTTGTTTAAATGTAACATTTTGCCTTGAACTTTATCTTTCCTTCTTCTTACTGGTAATATTTTATTGATCCGTAAATCATTGCCTCTATTTTTGCGACATGGTTTGTTATATTCAAATACATTTATTTTATTTGTTGTGATTGATGGGACTGTTGATAAAATAGCGTACAATGTAACTATCTTTATAATCGATCTTATAATACTGTCTCAACTCGAGAGATTTATTTATTGTTCTCACCTTGAGCAAAAGTCTAAATATATTAGTTAATCAATTGTGTTGAAATGTTATAAAGTAATCATTACGTTATTGTAAAGTAATCATTTTAGTTTAATGTAATCTTGACGTGTATTGTCAAAATTTTAAGATTGATAATTGATTGTAATCAGTTCAATAGGTAGGTACTTCATACCTTTGAATTGCCTGATGTTTTAATCAGATTCGACCAGGTTTTTTTATTCTAAGAATTTTATTTGGAAGGAGCTTTTGCAAACACAGGCACGCCAGCTCCATTGTACCTTTTACTAACTTATTGTCTACTATGCAAATAATTAGATCACCTTATGAATGAGAATCATTAAAAGGCACCAATATAAAACAGCTCAATTTTTAGGCCACTTCAGTTTTTGGGTTTGCTAAAAAGATGTCTGTTAGTTCAACATCTAATTTATGTCAATTGAATTCCTTTGTTAATGATTCTCTATCAATTTTGTTCTTAACATGTGCCATCAGCAAATGCTGCAAATCCTCTAACCAATTGCATGCATTACAATTTGGTGATTCTACTTTCCCAGTTTACTTGAAAGTGCCCAGAACGTAGTCTTAGTGCCAGTTTTACATAGCTTCTACCTAAGTTGCAATCTTCAAACCAGGGTCTCATTCTGTATTGCCAAGTACCGTATTCCCTGTTTGATCAGGTTGTACTGGACTTGGTCACAGGCGGACTCAAAGTCGGTAAGGCAATTAAAGGGCTTATAATACTTATTACGCGCATTTTATCCCTTTAGTTAGCTATAATAACTTTATATATAATAATAAATTTAAAGGTTACATTTTAATCAGCAGGCCAGAAATTGACACAATGAAAAATTTACATAATATTTAAATAAGTCTAACACGTTACAACCGAAGCAAGTAGTATTTGCTTTGACTTTTTTGACGGTCACCTCAAAGAACAAGATTTTACAATCCAAAGTTAACTTTATTCGCAAGCAAAAAGGTTGCTTATGAATTAACATTAACTATTAGACTGTTCACCTTATTATTGGTCGCTTTGTTGGCAAAAAGCATAAAAAGAATTAGGCAACATAAATTATACCCAACGGATTATGACGATGCGTCGCATGTCTCATTAGTGGTTTTAAATTATGTCAAATTGACTGCTCGGATGGCGTAGTAGTTTAAGTGGTCACCTCGCCGCTTCTTACTGCGCTGAGTGTTGTGGGTTCGATCCCCACATGGGACTGAGTCTGGGTGTTCTTTGTGTCCGTTTCATGTATGCTTGTAAAGTCCACCACGACACAGGATTTATTCCTAATGTGGGAGTTGTCTTTTTAAGTTTAAAAACTACCTGTACCCTACCACACTTCGCTGTTGCACATTGTGGATGCATTGATGATAAATCAGAAACGAAACTGTCACGAAGAATAGATAACAATTTTTCTCAATCGGTGTAGAGCTTTTGGAGTTTTAGAAGCGAACACAAACAATTGCAAAGCTAACCATTCCGAGCTAGATCGGTCTATGGATGGGTAACCATTATTAACATAAACACCTCGGTGCCGGTTCTGTACGTAGAGTAATCGTTACGGGTAGTTAAAGCTAAAAGGTCCAACCGTCTTTCTACAGAACTTCGATATTACCTAGTACTCGGGTTGTGGATGTGGTGTTATGGATTAGCAATACTGAAGCAAATCAGTAATGTAAATCCACCGGACAAACTAAGAATACATTTCATAACATTTTTTAGTAAACAAGGATTCAAAGTGCTGAACATTTAACACATATTTCAGACGCCGTCGATCACGTTCCCGCTCATCATCCCGGCTCCAGTCAAACGGTATCGAAGATGAGTGCCCGTCTCCTCGTACGATCCTCATGTCAGATCAGGAGGCGCTACACCAACTCTACGGAGAGATCACCACTCTAAGAGACGGTGCTGTGACCCACCAGTGCGTGCAAACCAACCTGGCTGATGTTATTTGTGGTGGTAAGTTTTGTAACTCATTACTATTTGATGGTGTATGCCTCTTGTTTGAACATGTTCTTAATTCGGTCTTAATTAAGTAAAGACATGTTCCTATGTCTTAAGCATTCTGTCTATTACGGGAAATTAATCCTAAATTTTAATAATACGAGTACGAGATCCGGCTGCAAAATTTTAATTTAAATTCTGAAGATAAATACTTAATTACAAAAAACAGTTTTTTGTAGCAATACGGATTATTATACCATTATACGCCTTTCTGAGGAGAGGCCAATGTCCAGCAGTGGACTGTTAAAGGCTGTTGATGATGATGATACGCCTACTAAGTGAATAAACGGCTAGTCAGTTTTGCCTTCACTTAAATCCATTTCAATACATGGCTAATAATTCTATGTTCTCTCTCCGTGACAAAAATCCTCAAATTCGTACCAGAACATTTACTAATTAATTGCTCACGAAATACTTTATTACTTTGTTCCCATAAAATCTCAAGCAACATATTATTTTTTATTTCCATACTTTAGTTTTTAGTTGAATAAACTCATATAGTTTAGGAAGGTCAAACGATTAAGTTTCTTAGAAGTTAATCCTTGACTAGTCCGCATAAAAACCAAGTACGGAATAATTTTTTTAGTCCCTGTGGCTTAAGTGAGTCTAAAGACTAAATTCGCGTGGTCTATGGCTAAAAACAAAGTACGAATAGAATGGAATGTGGGACAGGCCTGCAGTGGCCTGATTCTAAACAGCAATGCTGTTACTATGAAAACTCGTATCGATTTCATATTTCCTCCGACATTCTGAGTATTCAAAACTATAATAATAAGTATTTCCTATGGCGTTTTACGATAGAAAATCATGTTAAAAATATTCCTGGTAAGACAACATTTAGGCAATTAGATGCAAGTACATGTATTTTTTAATACCAAATGATTTTAAAACTATGTAGGTATGTTCTTTTAAGTCAGTTACGACACATAAGCATCAGGAATGAAGAAGGTATGTGTGTAGGTAACATTTTTGGCATTATTAAATATTCAAAATTATTTGTTTGTTACGCTTCCATGTTTTAACTATTGAACATCGTAAAATTTTGTGTACAATGCTAAAGATACAAAAAATAATACCCTATAATGGGCGAAAAGACTGAGGGATAAATGAGATAACTATTCTACGATGGGAACCGCGGGCAAAAGTCCGTAAGTTTCAGAGAAGCCCGTATATAAGTTCTCCTTAAATAAACCTCCTTTCTCAGGAGAAGCCTATGTCCAGCAGAGGACTATTAAAGACTGTTGATGATGATTACGTAATCAGGGGCAAGAGTATTGCCATCTAACAGTTGTTTTAAGAAGTAGAAGAGAAATTTGGATTTTAATACGAAATAATTCGTGAACTCATAATAACGTCATAGTTAAGGCCGTTAATCCATAAATTGTTGTTTTAAGTCTGGGTGTTCTTTGTGTCCGTTTCGTGTATGTTTCTAAAGTCCTCCGCGACACAGGATACGTTCCTAATGCGGGAGTTCTCTTTTTAAAAACAAAACAATGATCGTGCCCATCATACAGTATTTGTCCTCGATGGGCATCCAACCCACGATCTCGACATAGCAATTAGAATCGCTAACGACTAAACAAAAAGACACGTCTAATAAATTTTCTGATGTTTGAAATTTGCTTATGTAGACACTAAAGCCACTTCTCCGTGTGGGGACGGATTTAGAATACGGAGTGTTGCCAAAAGAATCCTACTTAGACCCTTTGCAATATAACACGTTAACGGCCAAATGGCGCTCCACCTGACACCCGACCAGCACCACCTCGACTCGCTGTTCACTCGTTAAAACAATATTTATTCTATTTTCATACACAGTCGGGTATGCTAAGGTCAAAACGTTCACATAACACTTCGTGCCTTCGCAAATTCGTTTCAGAAATAACTAACAGTAAAATATGAACACGTCCGATTGTCTCAGTCTAAATTTTATTACCGTAATATTACCATTGTTTAACTTCAGCTCTCAGAGATAAAACCAATTGGTAATAATCGATTGATCGAATCGGTTACTATATTACTCGTATCAATCGAATCACAGTTATTTCGTACTTTTTGGTACTCTTATGCTTATTTCTTTAACTTAAAATAATAAATTTCTAAAGGCACGTTACTCTATTCGCCTGCAAAAATCGTTTGTGTAAAAGAATATGTTTAAGTAGGTATTATTTAATTTATTTATTTTTATAATGACAACAATTCGGTTACGGTAACATACATATTACTCCGTGTGCTAACGGATTAAGAATACGGAGTGTCACTACCCCTGTTCATCCCGTAGGTGTCTTAAGAGCCTACTAAGGGAGCAAACTACGCAGGATAACAGCATTGCAAAGAGCAAGAAAACTTGACAGAAACCATATACCAACTCGTCAGGCCAGTGTAGTATAGTAGGCCGAGAACTCCTTTCTAAGGAGATGCCTATGTCCGGCAGTGAGCTAAGGATGTTGATATTGATGATGGTTACATAGAGTATAATACGAGTATACTTATCCTTTAAATGATGTCCTAAAGAAACAGTAAGACAACAATTTAATATAACAGCTTTAAAAAAAAGGCACACAATATCTTGATCATCAAGTTGAAGTCACTCTGTTTAATAGTTGTACGTGCAGAAACTGCAGTATACTACTAAAAAACATGAGCAGTACTTTATTTATTTTTATTAGATGTTATCTATGCAACTGCTTCATTAATATGAGTTAACTTAAGGCCATCTTACCAGACTTCTATTTGAGCAAAATCAACTCTTATCATTTAGTAGCAGAAAACTCAAAGTTCCATCACATTAAAGTCAGGTTGATAGTAAATCATATAAGGTGGTATATATAAAAAGTCTGATATCATTTCAAGTATCATCCGGCTGCTCTGACCGAGTGCTTTTTCAACTCATTCATTAGAATGAATCTAGTATATCATGGTGATCAGGAAATACGTAAAAGAAGTGGAATGAAAACGTTTAGTTTTTCGTAGGAAAGTTATAGGAATTGGTGATAAAGTGTTGGTTGCGCTTTGTATGGAAGCCGGATTTAATGCTAAGAATGTGTTAAATCGTTGACTTCTTGAAGACGATTAAGGATGTCTTTGAGGATTGTGACTGCACGGATGGCGTAGTGGTTTAAGCGGTCGACACGCCGCTCACTACTACGCTGAGTGCTGTGGGTCCGATTCCCACATGGGAGGACACTTTATGTAATCCACCAATTGTTGTTCTGAGTCTGGATGTTCTTTGTGTCCGTTTCATGTGTGTTTGTAAAGTCCCCCGCGACACAGGATATATTCCTAATGCGGGTGTTGTATTTTAAACAACAAAATTCAGTTATGGCTTTGAAAGAAAATCTATTTTATCTTGTATCATTTTATAATTTATAATCTAAAAGCAGTCATCGTCATTTTCTCTTTTCATAATTTAGCGGTACATATTTTCTAACTGAATTTGTTAAGTTTGACATACGAGTAGTATGCTGATTTAATTGTAACTAGTTCGGAACTAACCAATGCCAGATAGCACATCTCAAATGCTTGAATGCCATTCAAATAAATATGCACACAAATGAATTCTTGGTTTTCAGAATTACTCCAAATCTTCAAACCCCTAGTTTCTTAAATAAGTTTTCTTATCAACAACAAACAAATTTACAAATATATTTAAATATCTCAGATGCCAATGAGTATTTTGAACGAAAGTCATAAAGTATTCAATTTGACACGTGCCAAACTGAATACCAATCTCAACTTGTGTCATTTAGAGCATTAATAGGACGGGTTAGCATCGTTGATGCCATTAATGGTACGAGTATAAGTCAATGGCACAAGTTTTATTTTGCAGTATTACTATAAAAGATATAGATTAACACCTAATGAGAAAACACTTAATATTCCAGCTTAAAGGAAAGCGATATCGTGTAAATGTGCCTCTTAATGATCAGTCATTACTGTCAAACCGAAGATGACAGTAAAGAAAGTGTTTTCTAAGTTTTTTGACGTGACAACGTCTTATAATTCGATGGAGCCGGCTGCACGCACGAAAAAACATGACTCATGCGGCGTTACCTCGCTCTGGGGCGTTCCATTTAAGGCGTGAAGTGCAAGCGAGAGCGCGGAACGAGTGACAAAGAGGCACAATCGGCCTCCGCGTTCGGCAGCGTTCGACATCTGTCTCTTTCAAGTAGGAACTTGAGTGAGCGATGCGTCCGCGTGGACAGCTACTACTCGTATACAATAATACATTTTTGAAAAATGCAACCATTCCATCAGTATTTTCTTATGACGTTGTCACATTCAACTATCGTCAGTAAACCAACTTTACAGACAACCGATTTTTTTTTTGGTGCTTTAATACTTTCTTATGTAGCCACTAAGACCAGGAAATCGTTGAGTGGGAAAGTTCTAGATAATCATTATTATATAAGTGACTAGTGTCACCACGTGATTGCTACGTTAAGTATTATGCATATGAAGCCCCTTTAAAGACAACAATTATTCTATTTATATGATGATAATTGTTCTGAGTATTTAAACACACACTGTGTTTTATATTTATTCCCTTTTCTACTAATATTTTGAACAAGCTAATCTCAGAAACTACTGGATCGAATTAAAAAAAAAAGTTAGTCAACACTAAGATATTTTTTTGATAGCCCATTTGTCGAGGAAGGCGTGCTGTTATATTGCCTATGAAATATAACATCACATTATGGCCAAAAGAAACCGAGCATCAATAAAAAATGTTCCAAAATCGTGGAAAATTTATTCATTTTGTGTTATGTAGATAAAATTTAAAGGGTCAACTAGTTCCTAAATATAATGCAAACTTTTGTCCCTAAAACAACTTTATAAGAAATATTTCAAAAAAAACCGGCCAAGTGCGAGTCGGACTCGCGCATGGAGGGTTCCGTACAAGGGTTATCTATAAAAAACGGAAAAAAAATCAAGTCTGTTGTATGGATCTCCAC